ATTTATTCCATGGTGGGTTCTCTGGGCTTGGTTTTTATTTTATTTTTGAGATTGTGCCTCATATATTCCAAGCTGGCCTCAAATTCCCGGTGTAGCTGGGATGGTCTTGAACCTCTGATCCTCCTGCTTCTACATCCCCAGTGCTGAAATGACAGGTGTCTCACACACACACACACACACACACACACACACACACACACACACACGTGCTATTTATGCAGTGCTACAGACTAATCCTAGGGCTTCGTACCTTCTAGTCAAGCAGTTTACCAACTCTGCTACATTTCTACCCTCTGGCTGGGCATCTTGATCATACCCCAGTCAAGTACGGCCATTCTCATTGCACAATAAGGAAATAGAGGCTCAGGGAAAGGAAAGGGATTTCCCTGCTCTAGCTCATTTCCCACGTCACAAGCATACCCTAGGCACTGCAGGAAGCTAACCCAGGGCTGGGGAGATGGCTCAGTGACTAAAATGCTAGCCACACAAGTGCAAGGACCTGAGTTTGAATCCCCAGAACCCACATAAAATCAGACACAGTAGCATGTGTCTGTAACCCCAATGCTCCAAGGCAAGATGGGAAGAGGAGATGAGAGAACCCTTGGGAGCTCCCAAGCCAGCTAGTCCGGCATACTCATCGGTGAACAACCAAAAAAAAAAAAAAAGGCTAAGCCTCAAGATGGAAGGCAAGCTCTGACACCAGAAGTCACCTTCAGACCTCCGTACACATGCATGCCACAGCCCTTACATGCCCTGTTCACACACACACACACAGCAGGCCCTGACTACAGTTTGAGTCTCAGGGAGGCAGGAGGCTCACTTTCCTTCTCTGAGCCTCTTTTCCATCATTCACAAAGGAGAAGGGAGCAGACCTGTCTCTCAGGTGCGTGTAAGCACAGTGTGATTCCCAGCTTTCACTCCTGAGGACAGAGCTGTGAACAGGACGGGCCAAGTTCTTGCCCCCAAGGAGTCAGATTCTCGGGCAGCAGCGCCACAGAGGCCGGCACTCAGTAAGTGCTCCATGGAACTGAGGGCTGGAAAAGGGTGAGAAGGACTCACTCTGCTATTGATTCTCTGGTGGATCGTTCTCTGGCAAAAGAGAACACCAGGTGCCTTGGGCCCAGCCCCCATATTCTCAGGAACTCCTCCGTGGCTGCTTGAGCGGCTTCTCCAAAGCAGTGAACCCTGTGCCCCAGGAATAGTCTGTGGGAGCAACTGAAGGGGCCTTGGTTCTTCTCAAGGGACCCTCCATGCTGCTCTGTCCCTTGGGCTCTGCCTCTTCAGCTCAGCCCCACCCGCTTCCGGGCACTGTCCCAGCCTGAGCCAAGCATGAGCCTGCCCTGGAGGTACTCCCAGCTGTCCTGATGTCCCCTCTGCCTTCTACAGACACTCCCCCTTCCAACCTGGAGGCCTCCTCTGGATACCAGCCCTTCCCCCTCTTTCCAGAGGTGTCCCCAGACATCACCCCTGGGCTATTCTTTTTCCCTGCCACTGTGGCATCAAATGTCAACCAGGCTCTGCTGGGCATCAGAAGAGTAGTTGGTTTTTTTTTCATTTGTTTGTTTGTTTTGGTTGATAACTCTGGTTTAGGGAAGGGTCCTCTTGAGTGGCCTAGGAGGGCCAGATGGTTTTGTTGTTGTTGTTTTGTTTTGTTTTTGTTTTTTGTTTTTTGTCATGGTCTAGCTCGGACCAAGGAAAACTTTTTCCTCTCTGAGCCTATGGAGGGGAGGTGGCCTCTCTGTTTTCACAGGGTGAGAAGGAGACCCTGGCAGGGTAGTGCAGGCGGAGGCAGCCGACCCCAAAGACGGATGGCCTTTCAGGTGGGCCCTGAAAGAGGGGTCCTGAGGCACAGAGCAGCTCTACACACCAGACCTCAGAGAAGCCTCCCTCTTGTCCTCACTTGCCCCTGAGTGAGCCAGGAAAGCTGGCACAAAGCAGTGGGATGCAGGCTCCGGCGGGCCCTGACAGCTCAGCAGTGGTGGCGGCAGTGGTGGCAGCAGTGGTGGCAGCAGTGGCTATTCTGAGGGCTGGGAAGGGCCTAGACAGGAGAAGAAACAGTTCATGAGGGCCAGGATGGGGGGTGTTCGCTGAGGTGGGTGCCCTGGGACGGTTGTGTGGTGTGTGCATGGCCTGGGGAGGGGTGGGCCAGCTGAGGTACTGTGGAGGCTGCTGGCATTGTTTGGGCACATGTGCACAAGCGTTAGTTAGTTACAGAGTTGTATGGGCAAGCACACGGCCTAAGTATACAAGTGAGCAAGTGCGCGTGCATCGTTCTTGACGAGGAAGGTGTGAAAGCGAGTGTGCCTGTGAGTGGAAGAAGAAGCAGACACGGGAAGGTAAGCAAGTAGGAGCTTGTCCGAGAGTAGAATGGATGGGGGAGTGGGTGGCGGTGAAAGAATGCAGAGCTGGAGAGCTTGCACGGGGTGGGGAGGAGGGGAGGGGGAGCCAATGGTCAAGAGAACGATGGGACAAGAAGGGTCCTGTAACTCGGTTTTGAGTGTACGGCATGCAGCGAGTGTGCACGTGAGGGAGCCAGTGAACGTGAGTTGAGGTGTGTGTTCACCATAAGAGCAGCGGAGAAGGGTATATGAATTGGGGAAAAACAGGATGGATGCTGCAGGCCACAGGGATATTGAGCCCCTGGGATGTATACTATTAAGGCTGGTCCCTCTAATATTATACAAGAGACGGGAAAACACACACACACACACAAGCAATAATAATTAGACAGCATTTCTGGGCTGTTCTCAGCCTATTGTTCAGAATCTCATTTCATCCTTCAGACGTCCGATGAATGCGGTACCACGGTGATACCTGCTGACAGGGTGGGAAACAGGACTTGGAGCAGCTAAATGGCTTGCCACACTCCTTTTAACCGTTGTGAGACTGCCTCCTGATGAGTGTGTGAGCAGGGGCCAGCCTGTGAATGGAAAAGAAAGCCAGGGTGCCCTAGTGGGTGTGTTAGAGCACTGCCTGTGACAGACATAGGCCCCAGAGGAGAGGTCAGGCCGCAGCGGTGGCCTCTAGGCAGGCAGGGGCAGAGGAGAGCCGAGTCAGCCTCTGGGCATTCCTGCCAACCTAGGTTCCCAGCTCTGCAGTGGCAGCTTGTGCCAGAGCCCCCCACCCCCCCCCAGCTAAGTTTCTTCCAGTCCTAGTATGGTCCCCAGCAAGCTCCCATGGCACACTCAGAGGCAGGCCTGACCTCAAGGATGGCAGGAAGCTTGCCTGGCCTCTGGAGAACCCAGGAAGTGTTCTCAGGCCCAGTGTCCGCTCCCCAGGCAGGAAGGGGGTCTGTGAACTGTGAGAGTTCAGCCCTGCATGGCTCTAAACAGAACCACCTGGAGCGTGTGTGTGTATATGTAAGGGGGTAGCCCACAGTTCCCATGCCCACCCTTGCCTTTGGCAAGTGACTCAGGCTGATGCCATGCCAGTCATCTGCAAAGATGGGCCTGCTCCAGCCCTGCTGGGGAGGGTGGGGGGAGGCTGCGGCTCTAGCCTTGCCATCCAAGCTTTACTTCCACCCTTGGCAGTCAGCCTCTCCCTGGGTTTTAATCTGAGGGAAGGAAGTTTTTAGAGAGGAGACTGTCTCCCTTGGTGAGAACACAGTTTTTCCACTGAGAGCTCTACCTCGCTAGTTCCTCCAGGAACCAGGACCTGGCCAGCAAGGGGTTAAAACTTAGACTTCTAGTGCTAGCCCTGCTAATTTTGGTAGGTTGCTACCCCTCCCTGGGCCTCAGTTTCCTGATTGGCAAAACAGGATACTGTGCCAAAGGTTTGCTGGCAGGACAGTGAGGGCTCTGAGCAAGCAGGGGACAGTCAGGCATGTGTAGGAGCTGTAGTTAGAAGAGGTGTCCGAATTAGGTTGATGTTTAAGCTGAGTTTTGGTGGGGGCCTTGTGGATGGGAATGGCATACGGCATAGCCTGAGCAAAGGCTGGCAGATGGAGCGGTGACTGGAGACTTAGCCTCCTGTACCCTTTGGGATGAGGTAATGGACTGCATAACCTCTCAGGAGCTGCTCCCTCTGAGGTCACGTGATGATGGGATTAACATCTGAGTCCTCCACTAGTCTATACAGTAGGGACCTCATTTGTCTCTGGTTGCTGTTCTCGCCATAAGGCCCTGGAAGGAGACAGGAGCAACGACGATGCTCAATAAATACCCATTAAATGAGTGAATTTCCTCCCTCAAACATTCTGAACTTTGGGGATAGGCACTTGTCCCAACAGCCCATATTTGGGAAGCTCCCACATACTTACTGGAAGACAGTGATTTGGGTCCCTAGTGCCTGTGAGCTTGTTAGAAATGTGAAGTCTCCGCCCCAACACAGACCCGCCGCCAGAAACTCGAGGGTGGGGGCCCAGGGATCTTTTTTTAATAGTATGCAGGATAAACCCCGCCACACGTTGAACTTTGAAAATCAAAGCTCTAAAATTGTGCTTGCAAGCGCCATAAAAAAAAAATCTAGGAAGCTCATTTGCATACGGAACAGGTAGGGTTGTGGCAACGCCTGGCCTACAATCCAGGAATTATCAAACCATTTCTTTTTCCTAGACCGGTCCAGGGCACAAAGAAGAGAGAGGAGAGTTAGATGAACGTTTGGTCTGGCTGTTGGAAGGAAGACTTGAAAACGTCAGGGGTCTAGAATCAGAGGGCGGGGCATTTCTGAGGGTGGTAGAAGGAGGGAGGGACCAGTGTTTTGGGCCCCGCCCCATTCCTGTTGCCCCGGGAAACCCCGGGTTGTAACAATAACCCGCTGACGCGCTCCTGGGAGGGATCCTATGGAGCCTGTGGGCGGAGCAAGTCCCGCTGTGCACCAATGGAAGCATTCGGGATCCGCCCCCACGTCGCCCTCCCTCCGGGCCTGGCAAGGGGCGGGGCCGCGCCAGCCACTTCTCGCCTGCTCCCTAGGGGGCGCTGTGGCGTGCGGGGCTTTGGCGGGGTCGCCCTTAGCGGGAGCTCCGCGCCCCCCACAGTCTGCAGGCGGGGCACCCAGTAAGCAAGGATTCCGCGGCCCCGGGTGAGCACGCCCCGCCTCCTTCTGCGCCGGGCCCGCCCCGTCTCCGTCCCCCCCGCCCATCTCGAGGTGCAGCCGGCGCTGAGCGCGGCAGGCGCGGGGGCTGGCGCTGGAGCGGGAGCGGCGGCGGCGGCGGCGGCGGCATTCACCGGGAGGCGGCGGCGCGGGCTCTGGCACGGGCTCGGGCTCCGGCATGGTGCAAGCCAGCCTCGTCCCGAGAGAGCGGGGCCCGCGCGCGGGACCGGCGCCCGCGGAGCGGCGGCAGCGGCAGTGGCGGTGGTGGCTGCAGGCGCAGACAGGCGGCAGGTGCTAGAAGCCGGGCTGGGCGAGGTGTGTGCCCGCTGGGCTCCCGGGCCGCCGCCCCCTCACTGCCTGGGTCTTTCCCTCCCTTCGTGCTCGCCAGTGCGTCCAACCCCCTGCCTCCGCGCCCCGGCCCATGGCGCCCCGCGGTTGAGCCGGCGCCGCCAGGGACCCCTCCCACGGGCCTCCCCGGGGCGCGCAGATCCCGGAGCCGCGCGCCCACCCTCCGCGGAGCCTCCCTCCCTGCCTCGCCCGAGCCGGGCGGGACCATGGCTGCGAAGCTGCGAGCGCATCAGGTGGACGTGGACCCGGACTTCGCGCCGCAGAGCCGGCCGCGCTCGTGTACCTGGCCCCTGCCGCAGCCCGACTTGGCCGGCGACGAGGACGGGGCGCTGGGCGCAGGGGTGGCCGAAGGCTCTGAAGACTGCGGGCCAGAACGCAGGGCGACGGCCCCGGCGATGGCCCCAGCGCCGCCGCTGGGCGCGGAGGTCGGACCGTTGCGGAAAGCAAAGAGCTCCCGACGGAACGCGTGGGGGAACCTTTCCTACGCCGACCTCATCACCAAAGCCATCGAGAGCGCCCCGGACAAGAGACTCACGCTCTCGCAGATCTACGACTGGATGGTCCGCTACGTGCCCTACTTCAAGGATAAAGGCGACAGCAACAGCTCGGCCGGCTGGAAGGTGGGGGCGTCCGGGCTCTGGGCAGGCCACGGGGAGGGGGGGCTCTGGAACACCCCTAGGGGTCCTGGAGTGCGCGCCCAGGGCGTGGGGCAGGTCAGTTGACAGGCGAGGGCGTGCTGGCAGTAGCTGTGTTCATTCATGTCCCCTAGGAAGGATGCGCGGGATTGGAGGTCTGGTAGGGCAACAAGGGACTGCCTTTTTGAGACATCCCAGAAGAATATCTCTAGCCTGTCCTTGAGGGCATAGCAGCATAACTCATGTCCAGTCCACAGACACTGGGGAACCCCCTTCGCTTTGTGTGACTTGTTTTACCCTCTCCACCAGGGCACCAGCTTGAAAGAGCTGGAGTCGTGACCTGGGGCTCCTGGCTGCTTTCCCTCCCAAATCTCTTTTGCCCTTCCTGGAGCCGGCCCCATGGTGGAGAGTGCTAACAGACCATGGGTCCGGAATTCTTTCTGGGGTGTCAAGAGTTCGCCCTGGAGCACCAACTAGACGGGGTGAAAAGCACTGCAGCTCACCTGAGATGAGTTCTTCATGGGGCAGGTGTTGTCAGCCCCTTCCCTGGTACAGCGTGGGGTGGGGGCTGCTTAGTGATCCCTACTTAGTGTCACTTGGGGGAAGCATTGAAACCTGGGCGTCTATCTCTGCCCACTCTATGCAACTTATCTCCCACCTCCCTGGCTTCCTGGGCCCAGATGCACTTAAGGAGTGGGGTACCCCAGGGAGTCCTCAGTGGCAGGCAGTGGAAAGGGGAGAGCCATCTTGGGAGATGACTTAGATGGGGGTCTTCACTGGATTTGTAGCTTCTAGATCCTGCTCCTCCTCTGGCCATCTTGTTGGGAAATGGGGCTAGCTTATGCATTTGGGGGCAAGAAGGCTTGAGGGGGACCCCTCGTGGGAGAGGGAGGCCACTATGAGGAAGACATGCCTGTGTCTGGAGATAAGGCTGTGTGCATGGGTGTTGACTGGCAGCAGGGTCTGAGAAGAGGGGCAGGGGCTATGGCCATAGACAGCTCTAAATGCCTCTGGCTGTCCTGGGAGCCCGCAGCTCTTGGGATGGTGGTATGCTGGCATCTTCTCTGGCTCTCCTTGGCCATTATGGAGCAGGGACACAGGACAGAGAAGTAGATCTGAGTCTCAGCCCATCCGTCCTCCAGTCCCCCGTAGCTCAGTTCCCACCAGACTACAACTTCCTCTCAAGTGTGTCCTGCCCTTGGGCTCGCTTCCCTTGCTTCCTGAGTCCACCGTCCACTCCTTCCTGGAGATGCAGTCACTATCCTTAGGGGTACAGAGTCCCAATGCCTCCTCCAGGAAGCCTTTCCCAGCCTGTGCTAGCCAACTCAGGACTCCCCCCCCCCTTTTTTTTTCTGGCCCCAAGGCATGCATGGTGGATCCATTATGTGTGCCATGCTTCCCTCTTGATCCGTCCTTCATCTTTGAAAGCCAGTATCGGCGCCAGGGCTGTTCTGTACCCACGGCACCTTACATAGACTCGGGCCCCAGAAGCCATCCGTGTATGTGTAGTAAGAGATGAGTGGGCGGTTCAGAGGGTGTGGCTTGGGAAAGAATACCAGGACCAGAGCAGGTGTCTGGAGGGCTTCCTGTAAGAGGCAGCAGCACTCCAGTTGGTTTGGATGGATGAAGGAGACGGGGGAAGATGGGAAGCAGGCACCACTTGGAGCTAGAAGCCAGGAGACGGCTGCGGTTCACTGAGCAAGCAATGCTGGGGCCAGACCCTGTGCCAGGCTCTTCTTGTATCTTTAAAGTGCCCAGGCGTCCCTGAGCTGGGTTTTCCTATAACCATTTACAGGAGAGGGCTCTGAGGCCCAGGGGACAAAAGCCAACTGCCGAAGGTCCCACAACTAGAAAATGGGCAAGTTGGACTCCAACCCAGGTGTGTCACCTCTCCGGGTCCCATCGAGCCTCTGGAACAGTGTCTTGCCGGCCCTGGTGGGAGGGAGATGTGATGGCTGTTGGTCAGGGGCAGACATGTATCTCAGAATGTGATGGCAGCGTGCTTGGAGATAATTGAGCCCCATGAGTTCATTTCTCAAACTGTGAGACTGAGGCTCTGGGGCGTAATAGGACTCCCTCTCTCCTGAGGGTGTCAGGAAGCAGCAGGCCCTGGACAAGGGCCCAAGTCTCCTGTCTGCCCACTGAATGCAAATTCCCACTGCACCACACTGCCGAGGACACACTGGCCCTCCCTGTCCCTTGCTCCCAGTCCTAGACTGGGGCACTGGGTGAGCAGCCCCAAGCTTGGACTCCTGCTCTTGGTCCTGGGCAGAAAGCACCCAGACTCTGGAGAGATTCTAATCCATGCTGTTTCTTCGGTGGATGTCCCCGCTTTACCCTTCTGCTCCCCCAGAGTCCCTCCTTTCCATCTCTTTCCTACAACTTCCTGCCCTTCTGGCACTCCCAGTCAATTCCTCCAGAGGCCTGGAGGGGGAGCTGTCTCCAACTCTCACCTGATGTCAGCTTGACCAAGGCTGAGTACACCTCAGGTGCCAGGACCAGAGATCCTTTTTCCTTCATCCCTTTCATTCCCCCATAAAAGTGTTGCCCTTGAAACCCTGAGGGGTACCAAATCTTGATTCCATGGGGAGGGGCGGTGCACTATGACTCCTTAAGAGGACCTAAGTTCTTGGTTCCATCTTCAGGATGCATTCATTGCCCTGAGCAGCTTCTGCATCCAGGCCCCTGTGTTTTGAGACAGGAAAGGCTGGTGGGTGGGGCAGGGGCTGGGGAACGTGGGCTCCATATTCTAGGAAGTCTGATGTTCCCTCACAGAGGAAGTGGCACTTATCTGGGCTGTCTTCTTGGTTAGGGAAAATTAGGGAGATAGTTTCGTGAGGGGTAAAGTGAGTGTATGTTCAATGGCAGTGAGCAGGAACTGTGCCTGCTGGATTTGGGGGTGCTTTGCAGTTGCGGACTGGAACCTAGGGTTCTCAGGCTGGCGAGAAAGTGGTTCTGGAAAGGTGGAGTGGTCACCTCTGCAAGGGAAGGGAAGGGAAGGGAAGGGCTGATGAACTGGGCCTTTGCCCTGAAGTCCCATCTGTCATGAGGGGAGACGGTCCCAGTGCTGCAGAGGACAGATCGGGCTTAGGCCACCCAAACCAGACAGAGGCGTGGACAGTTAGGATTACTGGGGGGTCCAGCGAAAGGGCTGGCGCAGGTCTCCTGGGGACAGAGTATCAAGCCTGGGCTCAGGGCTTGACCAGGAGTGTAGTGGCCCAAGAGTTGTGCTCTCCGAGTAGAACCTCCCATTCCCTCTCAGCTGCTCCGCAAACTCCACGTCCCCTCGGCCTTGGCCTCTTACGGGAAGCCTTCCTGGCTGCACTGCCCTGCTGTTCCTTCCACTGAACACCTCTGGAGTTGTTCAACTCCTTTTGTGTTTCCTGGCTGCCAGTCCTTGGGGAGCTCCCAGGCCAGGCCTGGGCGCCTCCCATTTCTGTCCCCAGGCCCAGAGGGGAGGAGCCCAGTGGATGGGGACTTCCCCTCTCCCTCAGGGGCTGGAGCAGCCTTGCTGCTGAGGGGTGGGATCAGAAGGCGGGTGCTAGCCCCATCTGGCCCAGGCCTGGCCCTGTAAGTTCCAGGTGGGGCGGGGGCTTGAATGAGGGGCCGATCCCAGAGGCCAGCAGCAGGGTCCCGCTCCTGGACCTGAGCGGTGGTTTGGAGAGTAGTACCCCCTCCCCCAACCCGCTCCACCAGGGCGCCTTCCCCCTCCTTTGTCCTCGGGGATCCCCAGCCCCAAGGGCTTGTGGGGGTGCGGGAGGAGGCGGTGTGAGCCCCGATTGGGGGGGTGTCCTCACCCCCCTCACTGCACGAGCGAGAGGGGCTGGCAGCTGCCCGCCTCCTGGGCACGAGCCCGTGCCAGCCGCTCCTGGCACAGTTGCTGGCACGCCCGGCAGACTCCCACGGCCACCTGCTCACACCCACCCACGAGCGCTGGCGCGCTGCGGGCCCTTCCGGCTTCCCGGGCCTCCCGGCGCCCCTCCCCCGACGCCGTGCTCAGAGCCCCCTCCCCAATTCTTGGCCTCCCTAGGCCGGCCCTATGCGACCCCAGGCCCCCCACCCCGCGTAAGTTGGGGAGCTCTCGGGGCAGGGCCTCCGGGATTGCCGCGCCGCGGGGGAAGGGGGGCCGGGAGGCAGCAGACAGACCGACAGACAGGGTGAGGGCCCCGCCTGCCACCTGGCGCCGCTCCAGCGGGACGATGGCGGGCAGCGCCGTGCCAGGCGGTAATTGCAGACAGACTAATTTAAAGAGATGAGACGGTTATTTTTAACTCGCGTTAAGGTAATGAACGGCGCGGGGGGTTTGTGGGTTCGAAAGTTCAGCGCCCTCCAGCCCCCACTTAATGCGGATGGGGGCTCTCTGAAGACCTTGAGGGCTCTAGCCTCCGGACTTAATCGGGTGCAGCGTTGAGGGGAACCGAGGAACTGAGGAGCAGGGAGGCCCTGCCTGAGTACAGGACTAGTGAGAGGCCCATGCACCAAGCACATGTCCCACAGATTCTCACCACTACCCTCTTTCCAGATGTGGAAGCGACTTGCCTTGAGGTCGCACACCCAGCAAGTACCAGTCCTAAGTGTTAGAACCCAATTCTAGCCCTCAGACTCCAGCATTTTCTGTGCCGTTGGGTAGGACTGGGGGTTCCCTAGCTGTTGTTGAGAGGGTTTGGGTTTGGATTGGAAGAGGCTTGGAGCTCACCTCTTGTTTTTGAGTGACAGCTGGTGATGGCCAGCACCTGAGGTTTAAGGGTAGTCAGGATCTGTGAGTGGAAGTGAGCCTCTGGGGTAGAGGTGCTTCTCTGACCTCTTAGCAAACTTATCAGCTCCTCCCTACACCTGCCATGGGTCTGCCTTCACTTTGGGGCTGAGTGACTGGGAAACAGAGGAGGATGGGGCTTGACGCCTCCCCGTTAGAGCCCCGTCTACCTCCAGGTCAAACGTTGGGTCACTGAAGAAGTTGAAGCGTATGAGGCTGGAGGCTAGCTATG